AAGCTTTTGGTGCACTTGCGAATGCGATTCAGCTACGTATTCTCGATCATAAGCGCAGTATTAGCCGCTTTCTGAATCGGCGCAGTCAAATTTGCAGTTGCAATTACTGAATTTAAATGAAATAGATTTATTGATTACTTTAGAATACTGCGATAGATCGAGAATAGCAGAGAGCCTCTTAGTTCCCTATGGTTTATTATTCAATATTATGGGGTGCTAATTCATCTCGCTATTAATTTAAACGGATTTTCACGCGATTAATTATATTAGGTCGCGCAAGCGCAGTACGGTTTAGTAACAGCTGTTTGATCACGCGCTAACCGCGTGATCACGGTTCGCGAGGATTTCGCGGCTGTCGCGACAGTTCGCGTTGCCACGGCAACGCGTCTGGCGTCGTTAGAAGTGACGTTCGCCTGCTCGCAATTTTCGGCGGACGTTACAGAATATATACGTCGAAAATCGATCGAACGCAAGGGGTATTGTCCCTTACAGCAAGGTCCGCTAAGTCCCCCACCACAATCGAAGGAAAACCCGAGATATTGGGAATGTCCCAACGAAAAAGCATTAAAGTCACCAACAAGTTCCTCATCATCATTAGCGCAATCAAAATATAAGCCATAAGGTATTGTATTTACGGTGACTAGTGTAATCCATATTATTCTCCGCGGAAAAAGCGAATAGTGATCAAAAAGTTTTTTTATTCTCTTTTTTCCAGAAACCGCTGCTAGCGACGTCCGAGCCACTGATCGTGTTCGAACGCTGCTGATCGCAAAAGAATATTATAAAATGAGAAAAATCGGTGTAATAAGATGTGAATAAAAATAAATTCGTTCGCATCACTATATATGTATATGTACTTTATTTTACTACCCATCCTTTGCCCTAGTAAAAGAAAAAGAAAAGAACATAGCGTATTGTGAAAATTAAGTTATAATAAGACAAAAGGAAAAAGAGGTTCTCGTATCTTTATGGGCGGGTGGCGGCGGCCCACGGCGGCAACGGCGGCGGCGGACCGCAATGCATTTTTGGGGTGGTCGCGGGGTCGCGGCAGCGACCGGGGGACCTTCCCCGCGCTCTAGCCACATAAGATTCTTTCAATAATTATAAAACTTAATTATATTCAGGTATTTTAAATAATTAATAAACGCTGTTTATAGAAAAATTATATATATCGTGATTCAAAAACGGTTGGAGCATATACCGGTAGAATATCCTTATTTGTTTTTGTTCATGGTAATATTACCTTTTTTGCGATGTTTTTTGTGGCGACTGCAGTCTCCTGAAATGCTTACGACCACTTCGCATGACGTCATACCCCCACCACCGAAGATCCCCGCTTTCCCTCGCCACAGTATCCCCGCGCCCCGCGCTCCCCTCAGAGGACCTGAGTTATAACCGCTACACTATACCTACTGACGACAAACAATACGTCGCACAGTAGGGCCGATTCGGAATCGGCGGTCAAGTCACCTTTTAGACGGCAATTCTGAACCAATTTTAATGTTTTTTTTTTAAATAGGAGTAATAAAATTCTTAAAAACATCCTCCAGTCGGATTTCCAATTTTTATTTTTTTTAGTCAGTTTTGAACATTTCAAAATGGCGGAACCATTAAGGAGGGATTTTGAAGCCAGACACATTTATAAAAAACAGAATCATATTTCATGAAACTTATTACTGAGGGGTTTTTGGGGTTGCTGATTACGAATATGAAGTCGGTTTTCAAAAATTCAAAAGTAGGTATAGTAAGCGGGTTCTAACTCAGGTCCTCTGAGGGGAGCGCGGGGTGCGGGGGATACTCGTAGGCGAGGGG